CCATAGCTGTGTGAGAGCTATGGCAACAGTGCCCTGGCCTAGCCTAGCCCTTGAGTGGGTTAGGGAGTGCGGTTGCGCTCTTACGCCAAGGCATCCTGTCAGCTCTGTACCTGACCTCCATACTAACCTTCATACCTAACAGGATCTCGACACCAGAGGAGCCGTCCTCCCCTCAAGCCTTTTGCTGGAAAAAGGGGGCTCCTTTCTCACCATCCAAAGGCCGCGTGCCTTACTTTCATGACACGCCATCTCGACTGCGTCGATTTACTATGAAAAGCATGGAAGGCGGAGCGGCGCAATTGGACACACGGGAGAGTGTGCGGCTGTGGTGGCAGCGCTTCCGCATGGCCAAGAGCTTCAGCAAGTCTCGTTTGACCCATCTACAGCACAAGGCAGTCTGAAAGGAGGGAATAAAGCGCCCTGCGCCCCGGCACTATGGGCAGTGGCGCTGTGATGCATCTAGATATGCTTTTAACTTGGTAATTCTGTAAGTCTTTTTCTGCACATCTTGTTTGCATGTAGGAACAATTTAGGTTAGTTTCGGTAATTCAGCAGGTCTTTTGCTCGCGCATGCAGTCGAGTGATTGCCCCCAGAGTGCTGAGGTATTTGAATGGAACTGCCAGACTGTCTTCCTTGCATCCTATGTGCATTTACTTCATGTTCTGTTTGTGATCCCTTCTTTTTCTCATTTAATTTGATTCGTTTTGGCCACAGTGCCTGTGAAAGGCTACATATAAGGTTGCTTTTAGAACTCAACATATTTTGAGTGAGAGTCAAGTATGCAGATAGTCAATCACGGAGTACACTTAGTTGATATTAGGAATGGCTTGACATTCTGCCTACCGGGACATAATGAAGTTTATTTTCTGAAAGTGATAGCTCTTGAAGCGCAGGAAACAGTGATGCAGGGTCACCCATGCCTTGAGTGGCGTGGGCAGTGTTCTACGCTCGACCTGTGGTCATCCTGGGAACTCCTGCTCACATCTTCAGCACTCAGATGACAACGGTAGAATCTGGGAAATCAACATGATGAAGGGACGAGACCTCAGCTGGGTACGCAAAACCCTGAAGACCAATGGGCGGCGGTGCCATTAGCGGGAGTAGGAGACTCACTAGTGGCGGTGGAAACGTTTCCGGGTGCAAAAGGGTAAAACATTTCCCAGCCATAACCGCATTTGGAGACACAGTGACGTCCACCTTCTAAGAGTGACGTCCACCTTCCAAGAGTGGCTGATTGCCAAGAGCAGGAACAGTGACACAGGGTCACCCATGCCTTGAGTGGTGTGGGGAGTGTCCTCCTTCTTTTTTTTTTTCCTTTTTTTTTTTCTTTTGTTTTTTGAAGAAACTGCCCGAGCAGTTGCTAGGGGTGCTGATACAAGCAGACACCACTAGCCACGACAGGGAGGCTCCATCTATTGGTGGGGAGCAGCACCTGCTGGAAAACAGGTCCAGCGTCCCTGTCATGTACAGTGAAAGTATTGCAAGCATGAACAGCCAATACACATGATGTCTTTTTGTTACTCTGCACTCACAATCTATCCACTTGCTACCATACACTATCGTGTCTGCTACTCTTCTAACTCATATTTATCATACTTGCATGTTTCTACCAGTAGGTGTGGGCATGGGTTGTGAGGTTTTCCTATGCCTGTTGAAGTAGTTACTGAGAGACCACAAATGTATTAGGTGGAACGGGTCGGTTTGTATCTGAGATAATGTAAGATAATGTCTGATAGATATATGGGCACTTGTGTGATGGTTACGTCTAGTCAGATAT